TGCATAATTTAGCCAGGGAGCAGGAGGGGACTGACGAGCCTGCCGAGATGTGAGAGGACAGAGCGAGTCCAGAGTGGATGAGAGAGTAGAGAGGATAGTTTCTGCAGCAGAGTTTGGAGGCAGGAGTTGGAACGAATCAGAGGAAGGGAGGGCTGAGAGCACCGACGAGGCAAAGCTAGAGGGGGAGAGGGAGCGAAGGTTACGGCGGACAAGTGCAGGATGAGAAGAGATTAGTTTGTTATGTTTGGAAAGGGATAGAGAGAATGAAATGAAGAAGTGATCGGATGTGTGGAGCGGGTTTACAGAGAGGTTAGAAGTAGCGCAGTTCCTTGAGAATATGAGATCAAGGACATTGCCAGCTTTATGAGTCGGTGGGGACGGAGACAGTGAGAAAGCAAAGGTGGTTAACAGAGATGTTAGTTCGTCTATCTTCCCCATCTGGAGGTTGAAGTCTCCGAGAAGTACAGCGGGAGGGCCAGTTTCAGGGATGTGTGAGAGGAGATTATCTAATTCCTCCAAGAAGTCCCCCAAGGCGCCTGGTGGACGGTAGAGAACAACAATGGTTAGCTGTATAGGATGGGTTACTGTGACGGCATGGAATTCAAAGGTGGAAGGAGTGAAGTTAGGTAGCTTGAAGAGGGAAAAGCTCCATTTGGGAGAGAGCAGGAGACCAGTGCCACCTCCTCTGCCAGTTGGTCTGGGTGTATGGGAGAAGGAATATGCTGTGGAGAGAGCTGCTGGGGTGGATGTGTTGGATGGAGTAATCCAGGTCTCAGTGAGAGCAAGGAAATCCAGACTGCAGGGAGGCGTAGCCAGAGATGAAGTCAGCCTTAGGAACAGTTGACTGGCAGTTCCACAGGCCACCTGAAACTAGATGTTGGATCTCAGTGGAGCATGTGGGATAGACGAGAGCAGGCCGGTTATATCGATTACGAGATATACGGGGCCAGTGATAATTGCGAGAAGACACATGAACAGGAATGGAGAAAATACACATGATTATAGCATGAGGGGCTAAACAACCAAATAAAATGAAACAAAATAAAAAACACCAGCGATACTTAGCTCAATCAAAGTAGGATTTGCCTCCTCTTTGCCTCCCTCGTGACTCCCACAGGACTCTAATGTCTTTGTCAGTCTTTGACTCCCACAGGACTCTAATGTCTTTGTCAGTCTTTGACTCCCACAGGACTCTAATGTCTTTGTCAGTCTTAGCCTGTCTGACGCTGAAGCTGACGCTCCAGGAAAGTGCTACCTAAAATGGACACCTGATTGCTGAGTTCTCACAGCTGTGGGGCAATGTCCTTTTAATTAGTTAACTCTCTGTAGCTGGTGGCCCTCAAAAGGAAATCTAGACTGGCTTCGTCCTGATTTGTTATTGTCTTTTAAGTCAATTACATTAAACCCTAAGTTATAAAGTTCTGAGTTTAACCCTTAATACAGTTACACCTACTCAATAAAGCTCTTAGTATTCTACAAATGTTTAAATCAAAGTTAACCCTAGTAGTCAGTTAATCACTTTTAAGGTTTCAATCAAATGACTTTTCCCAAGTTTCTGTCTGACAGATGCTGTAGCGGTTTTGAGTTTTTAAAAACACAATTCCAGTCAGATCAACTACAGAGCATTGATACAGAGTACACACACTGAAACAGAGAAGTCTACAAACACAGTGTTACTCACACAATTCTAGAAGTCTCCAGTAGCTTTCTTGTCAAAAACTAGTTGCACACTGGCAGGTCAGTGCTTAGGATGAGATTTAAATACAGTTTCTGTTGGGGGAGTTTCCTCAGATCACAGCTGATGGGCCTCAATCGAGACTGGCTTCGTCCTGATGTGTTATTGTCTTTTAAGTCAATTACATTAAACCCTAAGTTATAAAGTTCTGAGTTTAACCCTTAATACAGTTACACCTACTCAATAAAGCTCTTAGTATTCTACAAATGTTTAAATCAAAGTTAACCCTAGTAGTCAGTTAGATCACTTTTAAGGTTTCAGTCAAATGACTTTTCCCAAGTTTCTGTCTGACAGATGCTGTAGCGGTTTTGAGTTTTTAAAAACACAATTCCAGTCAGATCAACTACAGAGCATTGATACAGAGTACACACACTGAAACAGAGAAGTCTACAAACACAGTGTTACTCACACAATTCTAGAAGTCTCCAGTAGCTTTCTTGTCAAAAACTAGTTGCACACAGTGTCAGTTACCTTAAGAACTTGTGGTAACAAATATTTGTATCACTCGTCAAATATAGCAGGAATAATGAAGAGCAGCTGATTTGAAAAGACAAACTCGAGAGACAGCTGAGTGACCACAGTGCAGAACCGCTGTATAGTTTAAATCTCCTAATAATGTTGTCCATTTTACAGACTTATTATATTTACAGCCTTGATAACATCCATTTTCTGGGCTCAATATCTGTCTTGGCCGTTTTCGTTGTGATCGCTAAATTCCCCTTGTTTATAATAGGATTATCACTATAACACTGACCTGGATCGCTAGAAACACGGCTGTCATCAGACTGGAAAGGGCTGTTCCATGCTCTGCTCAACCTCCCGCCTTCGCAATGGACTCAGTAGCGCCCCCTGCTGCCGTGGAGCATGTGTGAGTGAGCATCTGTGAGCACAACCACGGCGGAATATTACTGCCAAAAGTCATGGGAGTGAGTCACGTGACTTTTGGCAGTAATATTCCGCCTTGAAAAAAAAGCTGTGTACTTGTAAAACCTTTGCTGAATTTGTCTCTGAAACATATGTGTTTGTTTGATACGTTTTTTCTTTGCAAAACTAAATGCATTAGTTTGTAGATGGTGTTTTGTGTTTGTTAGTGAATCATGAGGCATTTGTAAAACCTGTTTAGTTTGTTTGTGGAGTTATGGCAGGAAATGAGCTCCATACAGTTAGCTCCATAGCTAGCAGTGAGTGAGCGCGCTCAGACACCGGCGCACACACTCAAACGGACTCGTGTGCCTGACTCTACCAACAGGCTTTCATGATTCTGTTTAGATATGCAAGTATAAGCCATGATAGCTTATTTTATTAACACGCTAATTTGATATGAAAATCAATGGAGGCTGAGTTAACTTTTTAGGAAAACCTACCGTCCATGAGCTGTGTTTTATTTGTTAACTTCATATTTTTCATTTCCTAAAACATTATTTCCCTCTCATATTAACAGTGTGGATCATTGAGACAGCGTGGCGTCCAGAGTCTTATCCCGTTTCCCACTTCCTCTGAGGGGACAGCACGGAGGGGAGCATGAAGAGAGACCTGCACCATCTTCATCCACGCGTTGCTGTTATCACTGGCTCAGTGTTATTTCATTTGACCAAATGTCTTTACACATTTAATAGATGTTATTATTATCCACCTTTTTGTTTTATGTCCTTTTATTTAAAACATTCTTTGAGATTTCATATTCTGGTTCAAATTTCAATAAATGTAATTTATATAATCACTCTTTTGTCTTTATTCCACATGAAAATGTTAGATTCCATTCAGATCTGTTGATTATTCATATCTTCCTCAGGAATAGCATGTAGAGTTTGTAATGCTAAACGTATAGCATTTCCTCACAGGATATAGAATGAGACAACACGGTTTTATCCATTGTGTATGAATGCTTCAGCTCTTCAGACCAACATAGTAAGATGTGAGCATGTTCCTAATTGTGTTGGTAGCAGCCTAGGTCTGGTCTGTTTAATAAAGCAAATCTGCCACTTTTAAATTGTAGAATGTGTTAAATTAAAGCAGTATTTAATTGTTTGTCCTAAACATAGCAATATATGCTTTTGAAATGTAACATGTCTTTGAAAAATAACAGTATGTAGTTTATATTGTGTATCACCTTTAGCTTGAAAATACATAGACGTGGTTTTTTAATCTATAAAATAAATAGACAGACACTTTATCAATCCCAAATTGGGAAATTATTTAACAGCAGCAGTGTGTTCAGGTATTACAATATTTAAAGTTAGAATAAAGTATAAACTACACAACACAAGTCTAATGCACAGCAATCCATAAGAGAAGTCCGATATGTTCATGAAACTCCAGGAGACACCGACACTAACGTGGCCGAGTGGACTCCGGAGTTTGCTGTGTGAGTTGCACTGTACGATCCGTGGGCTGTCACTGGCGCTGATCCGTGGGCTGTCACTGGCGCTGATCCGTGGGCTGTCACTCGCGCTGATCCGTGGGCTGTCACTCGCGCTGATCCGTGGGCTGTCACTCGCGCTGATCCGTGGGCTGTCACTCGCGCAAACGAGAAGAGCTGCAGCGAGAGCAAAGAGAACTGCAAACAAAAAGATATGCTATAACAAAGAAAAAATACTTATAGTTTACATGATTACACAAATGATTTGTTTGTGACTTCTAGTTAAAAAAATTTCTCTTAAACTCTTGGTTTTGCTTGATTCTAAGAAAGTGTTGCTTTATCTTTATGAAACAAAACTAATCCCATATGTTGGTTCCCGCTTCCAGAACGTGCTCCTGGTGAGTCGCAGCACATTGTCGTTGCGCTGCGAGATCCCGTCTGGCAACGTCAAGCGCATTAAAAACGATTCATTAACTGTCGAAATCCTTGAGTGCTATTTCCGTTTTGGTTCGTCATGATGTTCCGAAGAGGGAGCACACCACAGAAAATAAACTAACGGCCCGTCTACACTACAGGCATCGAAAAAGCTTGAAGCTGGGCGTGTCTCAGGCTTGGTGATTTCTCGCGACCAACAACCAATCAGGAATCTCCCGCCCGCCCCCAGCATACAAAGCAAAAAAAAGCCCGGTTCTTCTACACTATTGTCTAAATGGATGCCGGTTTTGTAGCAACGGTAGCGTTGGTTTATGCAATGTCTCGCAGGAGGCCACGTATAGTGCGTCGCTGTTGGGTACATACAATACTCAGAAAACGTCTGCAACGGGGGGAATACCACGTTCTTGTCCAAGAGCTCCGCCTGGATGGTGTACTGTTTCAGCAGTACTTCAGGATGAGCAATTACGCGTTCGACGAGTTGCTCGGAAAAGTCGGTCCACTGATTGCAAAGGCAGACACCCGTATGCGTTTGTCAATCGGACCCGCCGAGCGACTCGCCATCTGCCTACGGTACGTTTTGTGTATTTCTACTTCTTTAATATGACTCTGTATATAAAGAGAGAGAATGCATGCAATGGATGAATGAAGTCTGTGATTTAGTTCAGATGAATGACATTAATTAAGATAGCTAGGTAAACGCAGTATTGCTCCCCTGTGTGTGTGTGTGTGTGTGTGTGTGGTCTGTGATGTGTGTGTCTGTGGTGTGTGCCTGTGTCGTATGTGTGTGTCTGATGTGTGTGTCTGTGATGTGTGTGTCTGTGGTGTGTGTGTATGTGATGTGTGTGTCTGTGATGTGTGTGCCTGTGGTGTGTGTCTGTGGTGTGTGTGTGTGTCTGCGTGGTGTATAACTTTTAAAAAAAAAATCTTGTATATTACTTTTTTCTCAGGTACCTGGCAACCGGTGACTCGTACAGGACCATAGCATTCAGCTATCGGGTCGGGCATGCAACAGTGGCTGTCATCGTCAAGGAGGTTGCGGGTGCCATCTGGACCGCGCTGGTCGAGGAGACCATGCCGGTACCACAGACGGAGGACTGGAGAGCCATCGCTGCTGGGTTCCAGGAGCGCTGGAACTTTCCAAATTGCGTTGGTGCCATTGATGGGAAGCACGTGGTGATCCAGGCTCCGGCAAATTCTGGGTCCCTGTACTTCAACTACAAGTCCACCCACTCCTTGGTACTACTGGCTGTAGTGGATGCCCAGTACCTCTTCAGGGTAGTGGATGTCGGAGGTTTTGGAAGGAGCAGCGACGGTGGGAGCCTGCGGAATTCCGCTTTTGGAGAGGGCAGTCTGCAGCCACCTACCACCTGACACCGTCATCCCAGGAGCAGAGCAGTTGGGCCTTCTTCCTAGGGCTGGGCGATTTTTTCGGTTTTCACGATTAATCGCATTTTTACTTTCCTACGGTTTGTGAAATGGCTAAACCGAAAAACCGCGATTTTTTTTTTGGATCTGTAATCAAAAAGCTCCTCAAAAACACTATCGAAGCAGTTCCTGCCGTTGCTACGTTAGTTCAAACAGTAACAACGCACTATTTTCTTAGCGGATGCATGTCAATTTAAATCAATACAAAACTATTTTTTAAATCAATAAAATCATTTTCTAAATCCATAAAAGCATTTCAATTAATATTGGGAGTCATGTCGTTACTTTGCTGAGAATTTGGCCATGTAATAAGCGGGATAATGTGCACATTGCACATTGCATAATGTGCCTTCATGCCGATCCCTCCGCAAAAAAACGGCTCGTTCGCGGGCGAGAGCCGGCTCCCGTCGTTCACTTAAATAGTTCGCGACCGACACATCACTACGACAGACGTAGCATAAAAATGTCCACGAACACAGATGAAGAAGAACTCATTCCTAAAAAAGGTACCACTTCAGTAAGTTCAGTTGTATGGAAGTGGTTCGGGTACAAGCAGTCAGACATAGAACAAACAACTGTTCTGTGTAAGGTCTGTAGAAAGACGATCGCTGCAAAACATGGGAACTCAACCAACTTATTCCAGCACCTGCGACAGAGACATGCAGTGGTGGAAGCTACATGAAGCTAACTTCCCAAGACTGAGTTATCTGGCCAAGAAATATCTCTCCATTCCTGCCACAAGTGCCCCTTCGGAGAGGGTTTTCAGTACGGGGGGTAATATTGTAACATGCCAAAGAGCATGCCTCAAGCCAGAGGCAGTAGACAGGCTTGTCTTCCTCGCGAAAAACCTGTAGAAAACTTCCTAGAAAGTTAAAGGGATGTTATTTTGTTTGAGGGTATTTTTTTATTATCATTATTTGTTGTATTTGTATCATTCAACATGATGATATTTTTAAATGATGAAACCAGTCTGAAGTGATTTTTTTGTTTGATGCCAACAGCAAGACTAACCTGGAATTCATGCGTTGCAATTATTCTAATGGTTAACTTCCTGCAAGCTATAACAAACCCCAATATTACCTTTCCTGAAATCAACATCCTGTAACCTGATTTATTTTGGACATGTTTTTCTATTTCACTATTATATTAAAAACATATAACAATATATATTTTATTTTTTTAAATGTTTAACTGATGACCTATAGCCTTTATATTTTGTATTGGAACATAACAAAAACATATTTCATAAAACAGTTTTACATTTTCAAAGATATATGAGGCTTTATACTTTCTTTTAATTTTCTTTGAGATATGATTTGTTGAAATGATTGACAAAAGTGTATAATGTATATTTTTCTCACATAACTAAATATGCAACCCAAATTATTCTGGACAGTGATATTTAATAGGTTTTCTTTCCATGCAGGTGCATTTGGAAATAATAGAAATGTTGAAATTGAAATGAAACCAGATGCAGTCAACATTTCTAACATCAGATTCAGTATTGGCATTTTTTTCATCCATGAACCTTTGTTGGAAATGTGGATGATCCCAAAATAAAATGTCAAGTCCTCGCATCTTTACTCCAACCATCTGTTTTATTCTTCTTTTTACTCGCCATACTTAACTCACCACATCCAGGAGGATCCATATCATTTCAGAAAAAAATCGAGGTTTAAATCGAAAATCGTCCATTAGTTAGAAAAAATCGAGGTTTTATTTTTAGGCCAAATCGCCCAGCCCTACTTCTTCCCCATGTGTTTGTTGGAGATGAGGCTTTTCCGCTGCTTTTCCGCTGCTGGACAACCTGCTGCGTCCGTTCCCTGGACGCCAGATCACGCGTGAAAGGAGGCTGTTCAACTACCGCCTCAGCCGGGCCAGGTTGGTGGTTGAATGTGCGTTTGGCATCCTCTCATCTCAGTGGAGAATGTTCCGGCGTGTCATCACCACCAGCCCGGAGGTAACAGAGTTGTGTGTGAAGGCCACCTGTGTGTTGCACAACTTCCTCCACAGGAAGACAATAGGAAGGTCATCACGCACACCTGTCGTCGCAGAGTCGAGTGATGAAGCTCCAACCCTGCGCGATGCACCTATGATGGGCTCAAACAACGCCACACGCCGATCCATCCAACTGCGGGAGACCTTCTGCTCCTATTTGAATGAGGAGGGTGTAGTGTCATGGCAGCATAAAGTGGTGTAGGGTCACCATGGCTCCTCCAAACCAAAAGCTCTTTTAAGAGCTACCCATTTTCTTTAACCTCTTAAGCCCTGAGCCTGTTTTTAAGGTTTCAGGCTCGAAAATGCTATGCCCAAAACAAATGACTATAACTTAACTTCTAAAAGGGTTATATAAATAATTTATTTTATCAAAGCAAGGTTACATCTGTGAGTTGGATGTAGAAGTGTCAGAATCAATATAGATATTTCTCAGCCAGAGTAAATTCAGATGGAACATAGTAAAAAAAGGTAAATTCTTATCCCCGCCTAAAAAAAAAACATTACTTATAGTGAAAATTACCCTTGAATGATGGGATATTAGACTAAAAGCTTTAGGAATCCAAAGTATAATATATAATAAGTACCCTGTATCAAGATTGAGGCAAAACAAGTTAAATTTGACCTTTTTAGAGAGGTTTAGCTAAAAGTAGTCCAGGCGGACTGACCTTTGGGCACATTTTGGCACATTTCACATCAGTGCCATTTGACCTTTTTCAGGTACCATACTGTAAAAATAATTGTATTATCACTACAGGTAATCATTCCATCCAAATACAAGTGTTTTTAAAAAATTGTTTTTTATTATTTTTAAATTACATTTGTTTTGTATGTAAATGGTGTGTGTGTGTGTGTGTGTGTGGACTTTGCCACAGCCCTTACATGTTTATCACCCGACTAACACTTCTAGGAAGGTTTACTTACACAATAACAATTAGGAAACATAGGATACACTTGTCTTGAGCAGATTTATTTAAAAAATAACACTAAAAAACGACACTAAAACCGAAATAACACCACAAGCATTTTTTTTGTAAATACTGGCAAAAAAGAAAAAATGTACACAACCTGAATGTGTTTAGTATTTTTGAATTGAGGCACCAGGCACTTAGTGCAGTAGATAGGTCTTCACCGTTGTGTTGCCAGCATCAGAGCACCTCCTGAGCGCGGTGGCATCTTCCCCATAATACTTGGGAATGCATACGAGTGATGATGCAGCAAGCTGCTCCTTGAAGGACTTCTGGGTGTGTGGCTTCGTCCTGCCGGGGTCACCCCTCATCTTGTGCAGCTCCTTGTGGAGAAGGAAGCTGTTCACCACTGCAATGTCCAGAAAATGGTAAAAAAAAAGGTCTTGTACCATTTCATGGTTTTGTGGTGAACACTGTAGTACCCAATCAAAGCATCGGATACATCCACGCAGCCCATGCTTCTGTTGTAGTCCGCCACAGCGTCAGGAACGGTAACAACCTTAGTCTTCCACACACCAGCCCGTTTCACTTTCCTCCTGACAGTCTGTCCACTGAATCAGAAGATGCAGAGGGAGGCTGAGTTAGTACTGGTGCAGACGTCTGGCGGCGTAGCTTGGATGTTGATGGCTCTGGGGCAACTGTATGCTGATCTGATGCACGTCGTAGCTCGGATGAGGCAGATGTTGATGGCTGTGATCCAGAAGCCATTTAATACTTGTCTTCATCACTGTGAAAACAAATGTGGAAAAAACAATTACTTTGATTACTTCACTGGATTATTCTTTCAAAAATGTAACTCAAATCAGAAATAATTCCTCCATTTAGCGTGTGTGAAATAACAGTATATATATATATATATATATATATATATATATATATATATATATATATATATATATATATATATATATATATGTGTGTGTGTATACTGTTATTTCATATATATATATATATACTATAGTGTGTGTGAAATAACCGTATACATATGTATACTGTTATTTCACACACGCTATAGTATATATATAGATATATATATATATATATAGACTGATATACAATACAGCTTTATTTATAATCTGCTAATAGTCAATGTCTGTAGAACTACAAAACAGCATCCATTTGGCGTGTGTGGAATAACAGTATATATACTGGGTTGATATACAATACAGCTTTATTTATATACTGCCGTGTTATAGTCACGAAATACAATTAATCTATTTATACGTTCACCAACATGATGTTGCCATTGTTTTAGTTTCTCACGGAACGATAACGCTACAACAACAAAGCGGCGTCCATTTTGTATTTTGCGAGTGTGGAATAACTATAGATTACACCAAATACACAACTAATAGATACAAACAGAGAGAGTACATACCTTTCCTGAAGTTCCTAATCAGGGTTGCCTGCTGTTGCCTGCTGTTGTCTCTGTTCGCTGTGTTCTATGTTCGTTGCTGCTGTGCTGTGCTGTGCTGTGCTGTGCTGTGCTGTGCTGTGCTGTGCTGTGCTGTGCTGTGCTGTGCTGTGCTGTGCTGTGCTGTGCTGTGCTGTGCTGTGCTGTGCTGTGCTGTGCTGTGCTGTGCTGTGCTGTGCTGTGCTGTGCTGTGCTGTGCTGTGCTGTGCTGTGCTGTGCTGGTTGTGCGTGCTGCTTCTGCTACGTCTGTGCGTAAAGCAGCCGCTGCTGGCATTATTCATACTACGCAGGATCCTATCTCTGGATCCCATTGGTCGATTTGGGTGATTGACACCTTTTTTGAAACTTTGGAGCCAATAGAATCGAGGGGGAGTTAGTAAACGCTGCTAAACACTTACGTCAAGGAGAGAGAGGCTTGCGTAAACAGCACGTGAGAAAGCCTAAGCCCCCGACTGCAAAACTTTATACCTACGATGCGGCCATGAATGTAATGATGGATTATCAGGAACAATTCTAAAGTGACTAAAAGACATTGGATTAACCTTGAGCAGCGTTTTTATTCCCTTGAA